TTTGACACAATTGACCCTTTTTCTTTTGTTTGATTTGTTGACATTTTTCACCCTTTTAGGGTGAATTGCCTAAAATTTTCACTTTCTTTAGATTTTATTTTTGTAGAAATGGACAAAAAATTACTCTGGTAAGGGTTAATCCTTTCAAATTTTGATATTTACTTGAGCGATTGGGGTTATTCAATCTGGAAATCTGCTAGGGTGTTTTTTTTTCCGGCACAATCCACCCTTTAGTGAATACAATGCTTTGTTTAAATTTTGGTATAGCAAAAATGAAGATGGAAATTATGTCGGGTGTATATTAGGCTCGCACTTAGGTCATTTTCATTACAGTCAAACCAGGTCAAGCGTTCCCGTCGCTAACAAACTAATGAATTCATTAATGGAAAAATTATTTCGTTTGTTGATTCAATAATCCATTCATAAAATGAATAATCCAACGGTCAAATTGTACCTCGATTCAATAATCAAATGTTGATTTGGTTATGAACAAAATCTACCTGTTCTTTATTCTTGTCTGTTGTGTTCAGTCGTATTTGCTTCCCTTTTCCTGCCGTTTACGATTGCGTTTTTCATTGCCTTTAATCAAAATAACAGCTAGAATAGACAGACCGCAAACGCAAAGAAACTGACAAAGGCCGAGGATCGAAATCCACCAATCACCGCACCTACACCGACCTCAGTTTGACCGTCGTGTTTTCTAAGAGGTCAGGCCTAGGTCTGTTGCACTGATTATTGGCAGCAAACTGGCGTACATGTAACAGTTTGTTTGGGTTTGAACTTCAGAACTCGCCAGCACTCGACTCTCAGAAAAAAAGAGGAAAAAACAAAATTCTGAGGTCAACTTGTGGAAAGTGTAATTTTTCAAAAAACAGTAACCGAATCAACATTCGATTATGGAATCGAGGCTAAATATGACTATTGGATTGTTCATTTTATGAATGGATTATTGAATCAACAAACGAAATCATTTTTCCGTGAATGAATTCATTAGTTCGTTAGCGACGGGAACGCTTGACCTGCTTTGACTGTAAATTTGAAGATTTGAAACTTCTTCGGCCGCCATCTTGGAATTTTTTAAAGGGTTTAGTCTATGAATTTAGGTGGAAATTTCAATTTTTTGTCAGTTTAGACCAGAAAGATATTTTGGCGATGTGAAAATGTAAATTCTTTAAACGGTTCTCATATGGTCAAATTGATGATGGCAGTAATGTTTGGATGATTGTTTAGAGTGGTGGCAAAAACATTTACAGTCTGGTGGATTTGCCCCATCAAGTGTTTATATGCCCTCATGTTTCTTGATATACCCTCTCAAGTGTTGATATGCCCCCATGTGTGTCCATATGCCCTCCTCGCGTTTGTAGATTTTGCTCTCTTTTGTATGTTGATTCGCTCTCTTCTGTTTTGTTTAGTTATTAGGAGTGAAGAGAGGCTGTTTAATGTTTTTTTAATAACTTAGCCTTAAGCCTACAGTTACAAGTCTGGAGCATGTTCCGAACCCTACTGGCTGTGGCGTCCCATGTTAACAATGATTAAAATTCAATTGTCACTGTCAGTAAGGACCGGGCAGGAGCCATGGTTGATGGTCAGCCAATCTCCTTCAAACTTCCGTTTGTTCTCTATCTGATAAGATTGTGATGGCTGATATTATTGGAAATATGAAAAAAAATGGCATCCAATTTTGACTACCCCCTAAGTTTTTGCGTCATTTTAGAAGGCTGAGAGAGGAAACATTGGTAAAACATTGGTTTGGTCAGTTTTTGACTATTTGTTGACTCAAAAGTTGCCAAGGAAGACAAAAGTTGCTCTAGGTTGCTCGCAGTACAAAAAGTTGCTGAAAACGCTAAAAGTTGCTCAAAAGTTGCCGAGCACAATCTATTTATGCCTACCCTTGGGGCAAAGGGTGGACCCGTCGAAAGACAATGCCCTTTGGACTTAGGGTGTTCGTAAGGGTGGACCCGCCAAGGATGATTTCCCTGGTAACCGAGGATGGACCCATAAAGGAGGACCGGCCTGGACTACCCTTTCCTTTGATCTCCAATTCCACGCCTGTCCGTTTGCCTTACTTGGCCGCAATTGATCCGACCAAAAAGAGTTTTTTCGGAACGCTTTTCCCAGTCTTTGCCGCTATTCGTCCTCGTTCTGTTTGTACCTATGCGTGCAATAGTTAATTCTCTCTTCCACGTTGCGTAAGATTTTTCATTTCCGTCCTATGTTGGCACTGATAATTTTTCGAGTCCGTGACTAGCGATCTTTTGCGAACCTAAAACGTCTGCCATTTTGGTTACGGCTGTGGTCATAGCTTCGAGCGCATCGTGCTTAAGCGACGATTTTTCGAAGTTGCACGCTTTTTGACAACTGGCGAAAATCTCGCTGGATTTTAAAAAATCGACTCTAACGCTAGCTTCGACTTGTTGATTAGCCTTAAGTTGTTCTTCTGTGGATCATGTCTCAATTAGCTTATCCGTAATTGTCTTTTGCTGTTCTTTGACACTTATGTGCTTAATTTCCAGTTCTTTGTAGACATTTTCAAGCGTATTTAATACGCCACGGTTCAAATGAAACTGAAATTAATAGTCATTCCTCTCGGCTGAACGGTGCCTAGTTGGAAAATCAACCGCATCTCACACTGCTTTCGTTGAATGTTAGTTGACTGCACTGAGCCACACAACGCACCTGGACATCAGAAATACCGTGGCCTGTGGAGTTGAAATATTGGGCAACAGGTGACTCGTGGGAGTTAAGGTCATTAAACTGAGCCACCTGAGTCACCGACTTAAAAATCATCTTTCATAGAGGATGGCTGGTTTCAAAATACACGGGGCTTAACCGTATAATCAAACTCATCATTTAATTTAACGTCAGTAATTCTTATCCTACTGAGTTTTATACCTGCATAAAGAGAATCACATGTATGACCGCAATTTTATTGTTTTTTAGTCCTATTACAAAAACAGACATTCCTACATCAGAGAACTCATCAGCCTATGTATATGCCAATTTCAAACATTTTATGCTCACCTAACACTATTGTTTGGAGGAACCAGTCGCCGCTGTTCCGCTGTTTTGTGATCAGGGACTTTAACATCCAACGACGCGGACGACAACGAGAACGGCAAAAAAACAATAGGTTTAATAAGCAAAACAACAACTTCGCACAAGCAACGAAAAAATTTTATTTCTCTTTCCGAGCTTGAATATGGTCCCTTGAAATTCAGCTTCAGGAGGTTTCGCCTACATTTGACAAAGTAAGTGGTTAGGAATAATCGCTATAAAGACTGAAAGAACGCAAATTCACTTTTTAAGCGACGTTGTTGTCGCCGTCGCGTTGTTGGATCCTGAAGTCCCTATTAGCTTGTAATTACAATAGTAACACTTCCAGTAACATGTCACATTCGTCTTCGCGAGGTTACATTTTCCCATTAAAACATGCCGGTTTCAATTCGAAAAAAGTATCACAAAACGTGGGGCACATTTATACCCTGGCGTAGAACAAGGTTTGTAGCAACACTTAAACTATCTTCAACTTTCAACGGGTACTATAATGGAAATTATAGCTTCTTAAAAACCGGGTTCAAATTTCATGCTCTTACAGGAGGAATCTTCGTGGTCCACGTTTTAGATTAAAATGAAGAATATTGATTTGTTTTTCTTCACAGAAAAAATCTAAACAAATATTAGCTTATGAAATCGAGAAAAACGATCTAAGGAAATAACTATATCTATTAAAAAACAAAGCATGTAACCTGCGAAATTTCTCGACCCTCGCCGCCATCTTGAAAATTTTGCATCCGCAATGTACCGTAATAGCGGATCTCCACGCGCGGCGGAGCCCCATAGCTAACGAAATGTGGTAATCTACCCATCGAAGAAAATTTGGTAATCATGTGACCGTACACCAACCGACCGACCGTCCGTCCGCACCACAGGCATACCAATGTAAAATGACTCAATCAACAGGTATGGCAACCCAAATGCAACTCAAGGTTTTATTTGGAAGGAAATCACATGGCCTACCCGGACTTTTAGAAAGAAAAAACAACAAAGTCGGGTCTTTTTCGGCGTTATTTTTTATGTTTACACTAACGTGGATAAGAGAGAAAGAGCTAGATTGAGGTATTGAAAACAAAGGACACGAATTTCGTAGGAAGCCGAAAAACATGGAAATTCAAAGCGGCGGTCAGAAAATGAGAAATGAGAAATAAAAACGAACATGAACACAGGAAACAAATTATTAGGTAAGCACAAACGACAATTCCTCCATAAAAAAAATGTGTAACTAGAAAGTTTTACGTTTTAGTCGTACAAGACAGCGTTGTAGTCGTGCAAAACAACGGCAAGGGAAAGACAAGAAAACGTGCTGCACGTGCAAATTTGTTTTTTGCTAATTAGAAGAAAAAGTGTGCTGCACGTGCAATTTGTGTTTTTGCTAATTAGATCTATTAGTCTTGAAGCCATTTTCATTGTCGTCCCCGTTTAGCATTACACCATTTAATTTTTTTGTTTCCACACATTTACGAGAGCTTCGCTTTTAGCCCTGGGTAAATCTATATATTACTAGTGCGCTCTGATTAGCTCTGATTAGAGCTAAACAATCACTATTGTGATTAGGGTTAAGATAAGAATAGTGATTAGGGTTAGGCACTGACTCGAAATGGTTAGTTTTCATTTACTGTTAGAGTTGTCCCTATAAACATGTAAATCAAAATATTCACTGGCAGCAAATACATAGCCTGAATTTCAGACGATTACTTCGAGTCGTTTTTACTCCCTCAGTTACTGAGAGGAGAAAACGACTCGAAGTAATCGTCTGAATTTCAGGCTAACAAATCCCCTGTGGTCTAGTGGGTAGGAAGATGGACTGTGGACCTAGCGTCCCGGGTTCGAAAGCCGCTTGTTGCACTTTGTCTTCTTTTTCTTGTTCTAAATTGCAGAGACAGACTTTCATGAAATTGCTTGAACAGAAATTTGATAGAACTTAGAAAAAGACTTACAAATTTCATGTAAGCGTAAGTGAAAGGGAACAGGCCCTCTCATCTATTCCTTCAAGTGTGACTACCCAGACCTTTAGCCTTTACGCCGGCGAGGAAAGTTTCCCTTTATTATCTCTAAGCCACAAAATTGAGACCTCACATTTTTTATAAGCTAACGGTTACCTTAAATCATAAAGCAGTGTTGAGCATACAAAATAGTTCGACAGTTCGATTGTTGAAATGGGGGTAAAAACTTATTCTTTTGTTTTTATGTCATGAATAAAATGCGGTGGAATCTCATTAAGATAAGGACAGTTACTTTAAGGTCGGTAAATGTCTTGGTCTTCGATTGGTTGATTAGAAAATAAGAAACATTTTCGTTGGTTAATTCATGGTGTCTGAGGAATAAACTCAAACTCGCCTCTAACTCACAATCACAAAGTCGTAACTTACCTATGCACGTCCTATTTTCTATCGCTGTTATTGTTCTAGTTCACTGGTCCTTGGCGGGCAAAGCGTGCATATTAATAAGGGCGAAGGCAAACTAGCTTTTTTTTAGCACGAAAGACAATGTTTTACTTACCCCACTCCCCTCCTACTCCTCCACAATTAATTCATTTCCCCTTTTCATTTTATTTTTCAATTTTGATTTTCCCTCCACCATATCGACCCTACATGTCAGACCAGTTAAACCACCTGAAAATAGCACATGACGTAATCATAATGAGATTCAGCCTGCGTACAGCCGCCCCCTCCCCTCTGTACAGAGACTAAATGAGATTCCACCGCATTTTACTCATGAGATAAAGCAAGCGGCTATGACGTCATAGGCGTTAATGTATTCCACGGCAAATTAATAACATTCCACCACAAACAAACGGAGTAAAATATCCCTACCATACTACATAAATTATTAATTTATAAAAGGGAGCTTCGCCTTTAGTCTTGGCTAAATTTATATATTGTTGAATAACAAGTGGGAGTGAAACATATTCCGCCTGATATCAGGTATTGTTACTATCATAGTTTCCAAAATCACCGATTCATCTGTACCATAAACAGTGTGTCCCCAAGGTTCATGGTCTGGGCCAGTTTTGAAAAGTAATATTTCATTGATCAGCATTCTATTAAAACTTAATGAATCAAATGTAGGAAAAGGCGTGTTAATAACTGGCAATGCTATGAATATTTATGCACTCCTTTGGCAGTTTTACAATTTTTAGAGCATTTTTCTTGTCATTACTGAATCCGCACCCTAGTGTACTTCATTCAACCTTTTCATTCATAAATGTCATTTTCAACACCGACGTGGCAAACAACACTACATTTTGACTCCACTATTACTTTCTAATAAAACTAATCACTGCTACTACTGCTACTACTGCTACTTCCAGAAATGTTCATATCTGAAACAAAAAAAGAAAACAATGAGACAAAAACATAAGAAATAATACTTATGGTGGTGGACAAAACACTGACCCCCAGTCCAGGGACTACCCATATGGACTAATCTAGAACGCCTAATGACTCTGAAGTTTAGTGAATAGGGTTAGAAAACTGCATGAGTGTATAAAGTCAGTTTCCCAAGTGTAATGACCCTAAATGGAAATTGATTCACTCAGTTATTCCTTCCTTTGGGCAATGTAACACAAAATTTAGGATCGGTTAGTCCAGTCCAAGAATGTGTTTTCCATTTGCACAAATCAGGCCCATTTACCAAAACAAGAAAACAAGATTACTCTTTGTTTAAACGTTCAGTTTTTTTGGAAATGTCTCAACAATTGTGTTTTATCTATGTTTCAACCATATGCTCTGGAAACATTTTGTAACAGGTAAGTAACCGTCTATTTGATTAGAAGTAAAAGTATTGAACACACTGTTTTATTTGTTTCAACAACATTTTCCATTGTAATGTTGATCCGTTCAATAAGGACTCTTATCAGTGACCTTAAGATGCACCGTTTCAGTCCATGGGTAAGGGTAGGCGAACATGTTTGCCACGTAGTTATATGAGAGGCAACCACGATTTTCCAGATATGATAATGGCGTTACCTTTCTACTCGGTTGCCTACCCGTTTCTTTGGGGTAAGAGGCAATCTACCCGTAGTTATGGCTATGGATACAGGTAATTTACCTGTCCCGTACAAGGAGACGGTTTATCTTAAGGTCTCTATTGACATGGACACTGTCTTTGTTTCCCTTACTGTTGGGTCCCGTAGTATCTAGACAACAAAATTAATGTGACCCTGGGGAAAAAGGAGGATCCGGCAATTTTACCGTTCTGCAGAGTTTGACACATTGAATGACACAAATTTTCACAATACCTGCAGTAATCACAACTCTCTCTCTCAGTCTCCTGGTCTTCTGCACCCTGTAATGCAGGGCATAATTCAATGCAAATAAATGGTTGCTGTGTTTAGGATCACAGCAAACCCAGCAGTGACCTTCCCAAGTTGAGGTCCGCCAGCATCTCCCCTTTTGGAGTAATTTCTTTTTCTCACGGTGACCCTGAGGGTTTACCCACTCCAACTGAACTTCGCGCCTTGAACGGTTAATAAATTTCACCTGTACTGGGGTTGTAACATGAACGTCTGATCTCAGCCTGTCCAAGGAACTTGCTGTAGATTTAATATTTGTAATAATGATTATGTTATTTCAACAGCTTGTTTGAAGAAAATTAACACTATTGTGAGACACCATGGCATAGAAAAGAACAGTTATTAATCACTTTAAAACCACTAGGGCTGCATTGCTACATTTTTCCCTTGATATGATACAGACTGCTATACGCTTCCCTCACCAATAAATTTAATCATAATTATTGCTTCTTCTTTGCTCCTCTCCCCATTTCCAAAGAGGTCGTGGCCAACTTGAAAGCTTCCCCACTTTGCATTTTAGGCTGATGTAAACTGATTTAAAAATTAAATATGTTCTAGTTATAAAATCTATATTTTGTCGTCTACATTTCTCTATGTTATCTTTTTTAGTCTGAAATACCAGAATAGTACGAATAACAGCGATGATGATGATGATCGTTATTCAGTATAAACGGCTAAGGTTGGGATGAAATCTATCCTTGCTTCATTTACAGTGCAATTTAAACACAACTTTTCTTGTTTGTAAAGGCATAGAAAGAGACGACAGAGCAAGCTTGACTTTCAGGACTCTTTCTGGTTGCTTCTTTTCCCTGTTTTCCTTTTTGTGAAATAATGTGTCCCTGGCCTGTTGACAAAAATGTTCACATTTTTGTTCATAATTTGGTGGATTGTACCGATGAAATATAAACTGCTTTATTGCTATAACAAATCGCACAAAAATCTGTAGGGTGTATCAGGTGTGAAGACAAGGTTAATACTATGGCTGCACTAACACGAGTGTGAATTCTAACCTGTTGGTTTCTTTATTTCTACATTTACATGTTTGTCACCATGGTTGTGTGGAAAGGCATAAAACACTGGGCTGCCGTTAATCAACAGTGGCTCACGGCTCAGTTTCTTGTTGAAAGCCATGAAGATATGGGTCTCATAGGTATCGATGGTCTTTGAATGCCCATGTTTTATCTTCCCTTTCCTCTTTCGTCTTCCTTTCTTATTGATCCAGAATACCTGCACTTTCTTATCTGTCTTGTTGATGAATGTCACTTCCATTGGATGCTTGTCTTCTTTTGAATACAGGGCTAACAAATACAGAATAAAAAAATCATTACAATCATTGTTCCCTATCACACAAATGTCTTACCGTTTAGTGGGAATATAAAACAGCAATGTTTAGTTCCCATGGCGTAAGATATCGAAAAAACTTCATTTGCCCCTTCAGTCCTCTCTAAAATTGCTGAGGACTTTGTAGTCTCCGACTACATCAAACTCGCATTGGAGGATGTGGTTGACCCTAACCAGTTTGGCATCATATCTGTTTCTTCCACCGTGCTGGCACTTATTGGTATGGTGCACAAGTGGCTTGAAGCTACAGATGGCAACGGTGCGACAGTGCGAGTATTTCTTTTTGACTACCGCAAAGCTTTTGATCTTATAGATCCCAGTATCTTTAATCACGAAATTAAAACAGATCAACGTTCCTAACAGTATCATAAATTGGGTTATTGACTTCCTTTCAGACAGATCCCAGAGAGTCAAACTGAACAACGACTGCCTGAGTGGGTAAAGAACCATCTGGAGTGCCCCAGGGGACCACGTCGGACCCTGGGCTTTTCCTAAGGCATTTTCAACATGCGGAAATAGTTGACGATACCACGGTATCGCAGACTATACCCAAAGGCCAGCGGCGCAAGGCTCAAGATCTAGTGGACCTAATACACGACAGGTCGAAGACAAATCTGTTTGAGGTAAAGTGCGACAAGACAAAGGAACTCACAATCAGTTTCAGTCGTCAACGTCCTCTGTTCCCAAGGGCATGTATTGACAGAAATTCTATCGAGACAGTTCAGTGCGCAAAGCTACTAGGAGTTACGCTCAATGGTAACTTAACTTAGAATGACCACATTGAGGAAATAGCAACGTAAGCATCTAGGAAACACTTCGTTCTGGTTCAACTGAAACGTTCGCAGGTTCCTTCTGAAGATCTTGTAGCGTACTACTGCACGTGTATTAGATCTTCGGTAGATTATTCATGCTTAGTTTTCCACTATGCGTTACCAAAGCACTTGCAAGGCAAACTTGAGAGAGTGCAAAAGAGGGCCCTCTTGTGTATCGTCCCTGGAGTTTCTTACAAGGACGCTTTAAGTCTCGCCGGTATCGACTGCATGAGAGTCCATCAAGAACAAATAACCAAGCCCCTTTTCAAATTAGTTACATAATTTGTTACCTAAAAAGTGCAACGGGCCAACTTATAATTTAAGGAGACAGAAGATCTTCGACCTACGCAAAACTAAAACAAAGAGATTTGCGGACACTTTTATCAACAAGAGTAGTTTTATGGCAATGTATTCATGACTTGCAGTTAACATTTTAAATTTTTTAATTACAACGTAGTGATTTAGTAATGTAATTATATTTTCTCTTTTTTTTAACCTAAAGATATTTTTAGGTTTGTAAAGTTGCACAATTCAGTTTATTTTGCAAACTGGCTCAGTAAAACCCAGTCTATTTACCAGGCTACTTATGTATCTTACAACTTACGATATTCAGATGGGTCACTGTCATCGCTTTCCACATCCTGTGATGAAAGAAAAAATCAACAAATGGACAAAAATGGTCCACAGTCTATACTCTTATTATACAAAGAAATGACATCAAAATATTCAAAACTTTGCAGTGAAACTGCTCACCTGCAGCTTATGGTCCCACTTGAATTTTGAACATTTTGATGTCGTTTCTTTGGACAATAAGAGTGGAGGCCATAGGAAATTGCTTTTACAATAGATTGTTTTCGTGATCAGTGGCTATGCAAATCTCTCGGGACAAAAAAAATTTTAACATGAGATAAGAGTTCAATTCCTGCTGGATTTTTGGTACACCAGCATTGTTGCCACTTCATTGCTTTTTAGAAAATAACTGAGATAGTACGCGCGATCTGATTGGTCAAAAACCCATGGTTTATTATACCGGTAAACCCATAGAAAAAGGCACCCAGAACACGAGCCATAAACAAAACGGGCTATTGATCTGCAAACAACGATTTTAGAAAGAATAAAAAACAGAACAAGTTACTTACCTAGCCCTTCTTAATATTAAAAAGTGTTGGCTTCCACATTTTTATTACAGAGCATCACAATTCGCTACTGCCATAGCTTTAAAAGATATAAAGTACAAAGCTGGAAAAGCAGTTTACATTTAACGACGATGCCAAATCGCAGACAACACAACAACTGTATGAATTTCTGGTGTAGAAAGTCTTTAGGAAAGATTAACCGTGTGCCAGCCAGCATCAAAACGGATAGTTTTAGCATTCTTGATTTATTTTATGTCAAAATTAAATTCCTGAATGAAAGAAATTGTTCCGAAAAGAGATATCTGATCAAGTTATGGTACAAAATCGGCCGCTGCAGATTGTAAACAAGCTGTAAACGATGATGAAAGATGTCAGAGTTTCGCGCTGGTTTTTTTCCAACATTTGCACAAATTATTCGGTAATATCGATGCCATAACCTACTTCAAACCACCTGACTTCAGAAATCGACAAATATTAACGCTAATATGTGGCTACGGCAAAGAAACCTTTCTCCAGATTTAGAGCTACCACTGACATATTTCCATCGGTCGCTGTACATACATACGTTACATGCATGCGACAACTTCGCAAATGCAGCTACGTCGTTACCGCAACATTTCTTGATCATGATAAATCCAGAAAACAGATCTTAAACCACTGCAGCTTGTAAAAAGTGAATGAAGTCCTCCATTACAACAGCTGCCAGTTTCGTCTGTAAGTACGAAATGTTTACGGATCGACTCAACAAAATACAGCTGCGTACAGTTTGACGTTCAATTTTCTACTTTTGTAGTAAACAAACTTCAATGTACCTTCGCATGAATATGTGCTGACTTTTCCTGAAAAACAGCTGTCATAAGTTATCATGTAATGAGTGCAAAAACTTGTGTTTTGAAGTGCTGCTGTTTGTTGTTTGACTGACCTGAGTTTTGAGAAAGTTCTCCGCTTTTAAATCGTGAGTCATGATGGGCTTATGGTGACGTTAGAGAGAAGACAGCTTTTCTCATATTCTCCCAACATCCCGCGTGGGTTATCACGCCGGTAAACCCACAGAAAGTGTGGTCTGGTCACCAGATGAAAATGGTATATAACATTGACCGTTTTTGACACCCATTTCTGTTTTTGCATTGACGTTTCCGGGAAATTGTGTGCACAAGAAAGAGAAAGACAAATTGCACCATCATGTCATTTCCATGGTCTGTACTCTAATCGACCATAGCTCTCGACCAATCAGCATGCGAGAAATCGCTCAGTTATTGTAAATAATACTTTTTAAATCTAGCTAAAAGTTACAGTCCGAAATACATAACACTTTGAAAGGCCAACTCTTATGTAAACAAAGCAGGTATTTCTAAAACAAACAACTGTCGTCTTTCCTACACTTTCCAGATAAATGAATAAATCAACAACTCTTATTAATCAGTTGATGTTTGAATAGTGGTGTTAGTAATTGTACTAACTGTCACAATTTTGTAAAAACCATTAAAAAAAATGGCACCATACGAATTAAAAATTCAAAACTGACAGAAATAGAGCGACCGGACAAACCAAAATTTGACTAAACATAACCATCTTAAGTTTTTAGTTAGAGCTATCTGTATTTTTAAAACGAGTCACAAAATGACCTTGTTTTCAGGTAGATTATTTTGATTCTTCTATTTGGTTATTGATATTACTCACCACATGTGTGTGGCTACCAGAATATGATCCTGCAGGGTAGGGATGGGCAGATCCAGTGTGATGTCCTGGGTGGGGTGGAAAAGGCCCAGGTCCAACATGAGGGTGGAACCCTCCAGGAAAGGGGCCTGCATGTGACGGTGGTGGTCCAGGTGGGAGTGGTCCCTGGGGAACTCCAGCAGGGGGAGGAAAAGCTCCCCCTGGTGGACCAGGGTAAAAACCAGCTGGAGGAGGGACATATGCTGGCTGGAAAAAAAATCAGAAACCATTTTTTAGTTGTTGTAGCAGTAACAGCAGTGGTAGTAGTTGGAGGTGCAGTAATAGTTGTAGTAGACCCTCTATTTTAACACCAGAGGCAATTAAAGCAAATAATACGCTTGAGGGGTCATGTATTGGTAGAAAAAAAAATAATAATAAAGTCTTAAAATTAACTAAAATTTAAACTATGAGATGAAATGCAATAATGTAGAGAATTTTTTTATCTAAGTGAACGTTTATTTTTCCATTGGTTTTGGGTATTGTAATGTATGCCAGTGATTATGAAACAAAGGAAAAATTGACTGCAATAGAAACACTAAAGATGCAAATGAAATTTAGGAATTTAACTCTAATATATACTGTTACTGTCTTCTAAGGCACTTACTGAAGAGATAAATTTTATGTTAAAATTAAGCTCCCTAATTGTTCTAAAATAAAAGGAGTTACTGATTCAGGAATAATCTGAAAAAAGATTCTGCAGTACCTTGCCTCAATAACAAGTAAAGTTTTACAAAAAGTGGTAAACTGAGGAAAAGTGGTCTTGTTACATCCTCTTAGGGTATACAAACACTTGCAGGCTGATATTTGAAAAGGTAGGAAGAAATTCTCTTTCAAAAACTATAAAATTTTCCAGCTTGTTAACTTTTTTCCATCCCAGCAATTTTGCAACTTTTTAACGAGATTATCAATAATCATAGTTAACTGGGAGATTTCCTATTGTCAGCAGGTGATCACGCTGTGCATGCGCATTCAAGCCATTGCTACGTAATTTTGCCCTCGTGGCTTGCTTGGAGTTGCCTTGCTGCTTTTTTGCCTTTTGTTCATCTATTTGGCTTCAATTCGCCAGATTATTCGATTGTCAAGTGTTGGGCCCCTTTGCCTTATCTTTATGTGTCTTTTTGGCCCACTGCCTTCATCATTCGCCATGCTGCCTAATCGTACGAGAAATAGTTCGCCAACAGTTGCTTCAGCACCTGCTCTAGTGTCTGGTACCTTGGCTTCTGCTTCAATTTCGCCGGAATTTTTAGTTTTGGTAATTCAGGCCATTTAGATGCCAATTTCGGCCACAGTACAGCAGTAGTTATCTGCTGCAGTTGGCACTGTACAGTACCGCAAATGATCCCCAACCGCAAATGATCCCGAGACCGCAAATGATCCCCAACCGCAAATGATCCCGAGACCGCAAATGATCCCCAAAATGGACCGCAAATGATCCTCGACCGCAAATGATCCCCAAAGTCGACCGCAAATGATCCCGAAAGAAAAATGGGAATGACTTGGACTCAAGTTAGCGGATCATCATGTCGATTTTATTATTATTACAATAAGTCAGGTTAAAAGCTAAATTTTACTTCTCAAATAAATATATGAATAAAAACTAAATGAAAAAAATCATTCAAGAGTAAAAACGAAGTCGGTAGGCAACACACGACTTTTACCTCATGCTAAAATGCTGCTTGTTCCAATGACTTTTCTCCGGCTCTGGCGGGTAGATTATACCTCTGAGGAAAACGTTTTGACTGAGCAAATATGATTTTTGCCGCTTGTTTCATACCGAGAGGTCATGACACGCATTTTCTGCGGTTATTGTTGTTTCTGGTCGGCATGATTTGCCCTTTGATGCAAGAGCATTTCCTTTGAACTCTTTTGAAATGCAGTGCTCTTCATCGCCGCTAAATAAGGGTTTTAGGTTGTTTAATTTTCTCCTAAGTGCCTCCTGGATCCAAATAATCATAAGCGATTTTGTTTTAGTCCGTGAATGTGACGGTTTCTTACGATGTTTTGTCACGCGATAACTACTGCTTACCTGGCTTTGCGTTTCTCATGATCATTACCAGGTTTAGATTCCTGGTAACTGTCTTCAGCAAAGCACAACAAATGAATATACATAAAAACGCTAATATAACTATTCACAACACGTTCATGAGATGTAAGAAAGTTGCATGCCATTTCGAAATAAACCGCAACCTGAAAACATTGATAAATTCGGGGACATTTTGACTTGTGTTTATGTTAAATCATGTATTGTTTCGTAACGGGCACCTAAGTTAGGAACAAATGTCTTGCGGTTTATCACGTAAAATTAACACTTCAGAAAATACTCTGGCTGATTAATTTCACGCTTTCAAAAAGATCAGTAAAGTCAATAAAGCTCTTGTTAGGTGGAGGGTGCCCGGCTTTGTATTCCTCAGTAGAAAAGTTGAGCTTCTAGGCGTTAAAATAATTTTTCTGCGTAACGTCCTGCCTGTCTTAAATTTTTCAAAAGACGAAACCAGTTCTTGAAGCAATCGACAAAGGAAGAAGTATACGGTTAATACCACACCTTTTCAGATTTATTCCATTTTTTTTTCGCCTTGTATAAACTGACCTGAGATGTAGCGTCCTCCTTCCCTTTTTCTTTAAAAGGCGAGAGAAAAAGGTTTCTTTTTTATAATCAGTCCTTTTTTGTAATCAGTCCCATAAAATCCATTCCATTCCTCAAGTTTTCACGGGATCATTTGCGGTCGACTTTAGGGATCACTTGCGGTCGAGGATCATTTGCGGTCCATTTTGGGGATCATTTGCGGTCTCGGGATCATTTGCGGTTGGGGATCATTTGCGGTACTGTACAGCACTCCTTCCATTTCAATGCAAGGCCTTCCCGCCATTTCTGTTCAAGGGTTGTCGGAGTCATCTTTGGTCAATCACACGGCACATTTGGACACCATTGGCATACACCAACCTTGGTCTTCAACCATTACCTCGGCATCTCAGCCATTAACTGCTGTTGGGTCCCTGCCTCTGAATACTTCGACCACTTTCACTTCTCTACCAGTGGCTTTGCAGTTAAACGCTTTGCCAGGTACGTCCTCATTTCTTGCTGTTCCACCTTTTGTATCTGTGTTTTCCTTTGCTAGTTTGCCGTTCTCAGCACTTTCTTCGTCCACCGTTTATAGCCTACCCAGACTACCCACTACAGTCAATTCTGCCTTTGCTTTGCGCCCAATTGTAAGTCAAACTGTGGTTCCTTCGTTGGCAGCTTTGCCCCTTCAGCAACCGTTCGTGGTCAGCCCCGGCTACTCGCCAGTTGCTTGTAAGGGTGTCTCTAAAATCACTTCAGGAAAATGTGTCAATTTGGAAGATTTGTTGGCTGAAAACATTCCTCCCAATGAGCCCGAACTGCAACTCTGGTTCGACAGCCAGGTTGGTTTTGTCGCACACACCCAAGAAGCCTACGCGTCACATTTCTGACATTACTTCATGGATGGAGGCCTTTTCCATTTTTTATCTTATTCTTTGCTCCTATTTTCCACATTGATGGAGAGATTTGACAAGCTACAAGCTATTAATTTTATGAACATATCGTCAGTTTAGCAGTTTTTGTTGGTTAAACTATGACCGGCTTTCAGGGAGCCACAGCCGCGGTAAAGCTCACTGACTTGTCTGCGATGAATTGTCCAGCTATTCAACTACCATACAGCTGGCGCTCAAGTTCGTACTCGCTCAGCTTCAGCCAATCCAGTCACCTTCCAGGCAGAGGCTCTGGTAGCACTACTAGTAAAGTTATTTGCCATTCTTGGAATGCAGGTCACTGCATCGCTGTCAATCCTAACTGTTGATTCCGCCATGCATGTAGCAGGTGTGGTGGTGATCATCGAGCTTCTTCTTGTACTTCTTTGCAATCAACTCTTCCTCACTCTCTGGATCCTGAGGAACCAAAGTGCCACAAATGCCATTAATTGTTGTGCCTTTGTTTAAAATGGGCTTTTTACTTGCCTTTTTTATTCACATTTGAATCTGTCTTGTTGTTGGGTTTAGCTTGTTCAATACATTAGGTGAAAATTGAGTTTACTATCATCACATTGTTGTTCTTACTATTTTTGTCCTAGGCTCATCTATGATGTTGCCAGCTGTTGGGGAAGTCACTCCACTTAATGTTGAGTTATTTGAGGCTGAATTAAGTTGCCATCCTGATAGGGCAAAGGTTAACTTCGTTCTTCAGTGTATCAAGGAAGGCTTTAGACTTGGTTGGGATAAACTAGTAACTCTTAAATCAGCAAGGAGAAATAAATTGTCGGCCTACCAACATACAGGGTTGATTGATGTCTATCTAGCTAATGAGGTCAGGCTCGGCCGTGTGGTGAGAAAGGACTGTGAGACTGTGAGCTTTCACGTCAATAACGAAGCAGTGGTTCATATTCTCAATTCATGGACTTCAAAAGACCCAAACATTATGCACTTGCTGCGTAGCTTACTCAAAGTAGCAGCCTACCTCAGTTTTACCTTTGCGGCTGTTTTGTTCCAGGAAAAACTAACCGCATAGCTGATGCCTTGTCTTGCTTCAATTTGCAAGGATTTCGTTCTCAAGCACCGTGATCCAAGAAGTCTCCAGTCCTCATTTCTTCACAGCTTTTAGCTCAGCTTTCCATAGTGATATAGAAGCTCACTGCCTTTCCTTCACGTACCAAGGCTTAGCTGCTTCAACTTGCCGCACCTCCTCTAGCGCTCAGCAAAAGTTCATAAATTTCTGTGTCACGATTGGTCATGTCAGCTCCTCCAGCTCTCCATGTCCAGGCTCTGAATGGACCCTGTGTCCTTTTGCCACGTTCCAAGGCCCTCTTCTATTAAGGTGTATATATCTGCGGTATGGTCTCTTCATGTGGATCAAGGATTCCCCAACCCACTAGACAACTGCCTTCGGCTTCAAAGAGTTGTCTGAGGAATCAAGTGTTCAAAGGGCTCTTTACCTGCTAACCCACGTCTACCAAATTTCTAGTAACATTTTTCGCATAATTTATTTGGCTTTGGACCTCAACTCATTTGATGATCATATGTTTTGGGCTGCCTGTTTACTGGCTTATTTTGGGTTTTTGAGGTCCGCAGAATTCACCATCCCCAGCCTTTCAGCCTTCAACCATAGCCGTCATCTATCTGATATCGCTGTGTGATATCGCTGTGGATGTTCCTCTTAATCTGTCTTGCCTCCAGATCTGCATCAAAGCTTCTAAAACTTACCCGTTCTGGAAAGGGTGCAACATTTTGATTGAGCCTGGTTCTCCTCCTTTGTGCGCAGTTAAAGCAGTTGCCTCCTTCCTTGAGTGTCGGGGTAACCGTCCTGGCCCCCTGTTCCTTTTTGAGAATGGTCTTCCTTTATCTCGCTCTTTACTTACCGACAGATTGAGAGCTATTCTTTTATCTGCTGGTCTGCCTGGCGATTTTTCAAGTCTCAGTTTCCGAATTGGGGCAGCCACTTCTGCTGCAAGGGCTGGTATTCTGGATCACCTCATCCAAGTTTTGGGCAGTTGGAAAAGCAATGCTTACAAACAATATATTTGAACTCCTCCCGACCTCATTACTCGCGCCGCCAAATCTATGGTGGATTAGTTTGGTGAGTGTATTTTTATTTAGTGTTGCTCACTGCCTTTTTTGTCACTGCTAGCGTTTTGGTAGCATCTGTTTGCATATGTCGGTTGGAAGCCTTGGCTTCCTTAGCTGTTGCCTATTGCCCTTCCATCTTGCCAACTCATGTTTCCTGGCCATTTTGCCTTGCTTCAGGAGGGTGGTACCTTGCGCTTGGAAATTCTTTGTTAGGAGGGTCGGGCCCCATGGCATGGCACCTACCCTCCATTTTCATTATTGCTTATCGACAAGTTAACAAATTCAAAAGAGCTAAAGGTTGCTCAGGTTATAGTTAATGAGCTATTTCAACTTCAAAACTTTGCATGTGGTGACATCCTTCTATGATTCAACTTGCAAGATAATGTGAAAAAATGTTAGGAAAGACTCCCTAAAAATTGTTTAACCAAGCATGCTTAGAAAATGAAAGATTAACTGCTTGTAATAATTAATAAATCTTTAAATCAAATGAAGAATGATCCTCGCAGTTGTGAATGCAATTTATGCAATTGTGTAAGAAGCCTGAAAAACAGTGATGCAACAATGTTCTGAATTCAATTTCCTTGAAAGTTTCCATTTGGCAACCAAAAATTATAAAATGGTCACCAGACGAAATTAGTTACCTGAAAAAAAAGGCACTTAGCTATTATGTGAAAGGTAAATAAAATGAATGCCAGGAGTATCATGACTTAGAAATTTAACCTTTGCTGCAATTTTAGTAGCCAATTTTTGGAAACCAATAATTATGGTCACAGGTTGGAGTGCTTTAATTTTGAATGGAAAGGGAAAATGAAGGTTATTTGATGAGTAATAAAGGATATGAAAACCTACCGGATAGGCAGCCTGTGCAGGAGTGGGTATGCAAGTGTAGGGTGGTGGGCCACCAGGATAGAATCCTGCGCCTGGAGGACCAAAAGGGGGTGGAACAGCTCCCTGCAGTCAATTAAGAATACAAACTAAGGTAAGCATTATTGTTAATACCTGAATGAGGGGAACAAGAACAACAGATGCAAAACATGGTATGTATAGCATCACTTAGTTAAGCCACAACAGAATTGAAATAGATACAAATATCCAGTTTTAAGTACTCCTACTTCTTTCTCTCTTATCTTCTACTTTTTTCTAACACCAAAAGTACAAATGCAAACTCAACTCAGGTTCAATGACCAACATACAGAGCTGAAACCAGTCTTTGATCCATCAGTGGGGAAAGTGCCAAGTTAATGGTGGGTTTGCCCTGGTGCACAATGAATTGAAAGGCAGACTTCAGGGAGAAAAGGTTGGTTTTGGCATTAAAAGGCTTGAATGAAATGCACTTACAGAAGCAAACTAATTGTTTCTGAAGAATGACGCCCTGACAATGTTCATTTATATCACTTTTTACTACTATTTTAAAGCCAGCGGTCAAAATTACTTTGATTTTGTTTGCAAAATACTTCTGCCATAGAAATTCAGGGCCAAAAGCATTTCTTGATTGCCAAAATAGCCAGAAAAACACTGGAAATGGACCAAGTTTGTTGCTTGATGATGTCATTGCAGACACCAACCAAGTTATATAAATACATAATCATTTTAATGTGGCTAAATTTTCTTTAGGCTAAGTTAACATTGAGCCAATGCAGCCAGCAGTGTTCCTGTATTAGCATGCGTGACATGCGGGGTGGCCCATTTGGGGTTTTCAGGGCTATCCTTTTGCATTATTTTGCAAGCTATTCTAGCTGATTGTTGCGGATCACCTTTTGCTTTGTGTTGGCGAATCTTTGCGGATTCTTTCTCCCTCTCCTCCCTCCCTGCTGTCATGTGTGGGTGCGCCGGTAAGTATCTCACTTGGGTAAGTATTTTTGCCACTGAGTATTGTCTCAGTGTGACAGTGCCAGTTTGCGGCTGCTGGAAGGGGTGATTCCCACTTCAGGGTTGCCTGGTAACCTCCTTGCTGTATTTTTCGCAGTTGGCCTCCCCTGCTAACCTTTTAGGTACCAGTTCCCAAGCTCATCAATTGGCGATGAGTTTAATAGAAATATGTATGAGGGAACCTGAAGTTTTAGGCCATTAAGATCCATGTGGGATCCATATGCAGCACATGCTACATATCTATTAACAGGAATTATGTCCCAGTCAATTCCAAAACTACCTATTCCTTCCTTCCCCCAGGTACAACCTGGGCGTTTGACTAGAGTTTAGCCCCATACAGTGGGGAATGTGACTGAAAATGAGGACCACCTGGTAAGAAAATTGACTTTCCATTTTAGGATTTTACAATTCTTTCATTAAGCATATGCACCGCATTCATGGCTCATTGCTCCTGTATTCACTGTTTTGTTAGAGCATTTGAGAGCCTTTGAAAAAGCCAATAAATGTGGGCATTCTGAAAGATTCAATGAAAATATTCAAACCCCTGTAAGACAGTTTTCAGAGACTTTAGATATTTCAGGTGGGTTTTAGTATGATATTTAGATTTGAATAAACCACTAGGACAATTTTCAAACAGTCGCTTTTATACATGGTGGGTGAAGTACCAGCTGGAGGGGCAATTGACCATCTAAACTGCCAACATGGCAGGGAATTTGACCACATTTTTTTAAAAAAGTAAAATGCCCATGAGTTTGCACAAGGAGGGGGGTATGGGTGCTTCTGGAACTGACTGGAACAGTATTTCTGGAGTGCTGGTAATATTATCTTATCTGTGCCACAGGCTACTCAAATCCAAATTGTTTGAGATAATACATATGCAGGATACCAGCATTGCAAAAGTAAAAGAAATTCACAAAAAAACAAATATTATCATAATAATAATACACTTGATTCTTACCTGGGGATAGGTTTGTCCTGGGGGTGGTGGAGGGTGTTGTCCTGGGGGTGGAGGTCCACTCATTCTGATAAACTCTGGCTAATGTAAATCACAAAAAAGTAAAATATTAATGAAGTTACAAAACGAAAGGCTCTGTAGGTAAAGTGTTGGTGCAGTTTTAATCAGTTTCTCTCAAATTTAGTTCTGTTGTAGGGTTGTTTTGCTCATGCTGGTACAGAAAAAGACCTCACTTTGTTGTCCTTAAAGCCAGTCTATGGAGTATGGAAAAATTCGGCGAGATCTCATGCATGCAGAGTGCAGGCACTGTGCGCAGTAAGGAGCAGAATACGTGTGGCTGGTAGCTCCCACCTCCTGTCAAAACAGTGAAACTTCCTTAGTCAAAGAAATCGTGCAAAAAAAGTATAAAAAATCAAGGATTTTCAACCAGAGGACTGACAAGCTTTTCTTCAAAACGTCAACATAAAAAAATGCTTAGATGCTTAGGTTTTTTTACTTAGTTTTTTTTACCAAATATATCACTGAGGTAGCATTAATTTTGAGAGCCTGGTTTTCAGAGGGGGGAAACTCACTTTTGAATTTTGCTCCTTAATTTGGTGTACAAACTCCCTCATGGTGGCATCTCTACAAAAACATGTGGATACACCCCACGCCTTCTCAAGCAAGTCAGGGGGCATGGGTACCTGTACACACATGCACACATGAAAAGATGCCGAACTTGATAAAAACATAAACACAAAAATACAAGGCAAGGTAAATAAGTTGGATGGGGGGGTCCTAATGGTGATTTCAGTAGGCGTATTTGCAGTTTTTCGAGTTCACTGTTGACCAGTTTCTCTAGAGAGGCCACTTGATTTGGTGGACTAAAACCCTGGTGCTTATCGTAAGCAGAAGACTAAAGTGCTATGTTGCCTTTGCTGTATTTTACTGTTTGGATAATAGCTTGTGTGTCGGAGGTTTCATTTTAGTTAAACCCGGCGGTTTGAAACCTAAATATGGTTCTATTGAAGCCAGTAAAGAGTGGCAATTCAAGGAGCAAGTGTCTGGTTTTCCGAAACTATAAACCAGGAAATAACTTAAAATGTGTACCATATGAGTATTTCCAACAATCGTCCTTAGTCATGTGATGAGGGCAAAGAAATCTGCCAAAATGTGTGCTGCACATTCAGAGTTCTACTTTGCTTTTGCTTTTTTCTTTTATCATTTCCATTATCATTGTTGTCATGTGGTTGATTGACCATCCCAAACAGCATTACCATGCATTGATTTCATTGAAAAACTGAACATTTTGATGGAAAAAGCGCGATGAATATATGATGTCTACAGGTAGCCACAGAGAGGTCCAGAATTAGAACGATACAGTTCTGATAGTTTTAGTCACATTTCCAGCTGATTTAGACAACCTTCATGTTAATTCTTCCCGGGGGACCATTGCCCTGGATCACCATGGTATGGTCATGGTTCTTTAAAAAACCGGGGTACAAAAAAGATTATGACCCAATTACCAGTTGGTCCTTTCGTATATAACCTCACCATGGTGTGTGAAAGCAAGGGGGATGTGGAAAAGATGTGGGAGACCTGAGAGGTTAGGGTACCGGTCGATTTGGAAAAAAAATCATTGCTACTACCCTGAAAAAGAGGGAATCTCTTGTTAGGTCCGATGCTGCCGTGTGCAATGCTACGATTTTAGTTTGCACAATAAGACTGGTCTTAAAGTGATTTAAATCATAAAACGCAATAAGGAATAATTGAATTCATGTAAATTGTCACGAGCTTGAAACAAGGTTACTTAGATCAATATTGTATAAGTTTTATATTAAATACAGTAAAAAGTCATCAAATGAACATAGTGTACTCTTATTTGACACACCATGTGTACAATAGGAACTCGAAATTGGACATTTTTACGGGTTTAAAGATGTCTCCTTATTTGTTTTGTCTCACGTTTGTAACAGACAAAGATTCTCTCTAGCTGCCCAATATACCTCTCCGTGTACTCTTCTTTATTCAAAAGACAAACAAATGCAAGCTCTTACTTAACATGATACAAAACTTACCAACTTTGTGCAAGGCGATCAAAACCAGAATCGAAACCCAACCTCATACGTGCTCGTACCCAGATCGAACTTCCCACAATTCCAGACTGTTACGACATTATATTGGGTGCCCTGTGAGAGCCCCTTGTGTTACATTCAAAATGGCGGCGCTGCGGAGGACAACATTTACAGTATACTCCGTGTGCGCTCGTCTTGCTAGAGTTTCATCCAGATTGTTGTCATACGAACAAAATGGACAAGATAAAACAAGTACACAACCGTTGACTGAAGGGGAAGAAACAAACACAGTACTCAGCCAAGCAAATAATTCACATAATGGGTGAGTAGAGTAACAAGCTTATATTAAGCTTATTTTAGCTATATTACAAATAATAAAACTATCAATCTTGGACAAAATAAATGGAAATTTTAGATCCCCCGTCCCCCCAAATCAAAGATGTAAAAAATGCGCGTTTTGCCCTTAATTCGTGTGGCTTCATCCTTCATTTTTGAGCTATTTTGAAAAAATTGCTCATATGTCAGTGGTGTGAGCGTATGTATCTTTGTGGCTTTGTAACTTTGTATGTTCGGATCTTTGTTGCAAGAGCCAATAAGGTTGAAGGTACTATTAGTTGATGCTTAGGAACCAATGAGATCTTAGCATCTACTTAAACATGACATTGGTAAAGGTCGAACAAGGGCACTTTGAGACCGCCATCTTTAGGGCCAAGTCGCACTAGAGGGCAATTTCAGATTTGTTCTGGACAAATCCGACTTGAAATCGGCCAGTGACAAAAAATTTGTCCGGAAAGCTACAGTCGCACTTAAGAACAAAATCTGTGAACAAAACACAACACCATGCTTTTCAGCCCTCAGTTCAGTGAACTAAAAGCTTCTTTACTCCATCTGTCCTGAGCCTTCTTGTTCTCGGCTGACGAAGATGCACGGGGCTAAGAACATGGGGTTGATGGCGGCATTAAATCTTCGCTGAACCGGAGGAATTCTGGCAACGAGTCAGCACTCATGGTCGAAGAAGATGGGCTGGGATTTCCTCGATCATTAAACATGTAAGGGCCTGGCAAAGGATAGATCCATCCTGGTGGATATTGTGGATATTCGTGTGGAAAAAATTGTCGCCCGCGCCGGAATTCATGTTGTTGCGAAATGAGAACGTGATTAATTTTACAACGAAGTCTATAGCATAGAGACTCTGCTACAAATCACCTGTCAAATCATTTCCGAATTAAAACACCCTTGCTATTGTTTTCCAAAATTTGTCTCAATTTGGCCTGCTCCAGAGGTAGTCGACGGCATCTTTGAAGTTTGTCCGTCTGCGACCAAATTTTGTCCTTTGGTGAACAAACCGGTCGCACTTGGTTTTTCATTGTGATGACAGATTTTTGACATAAATAAACAGTTTTGTCCTCTAGTGCGACTTGGCCCTTATTCTTCACAATTTTTTCGTCTTTTATTACGGCTACAGGTGTTTGGAAACATTATATTAAATATCTTCATTATTCAAACGCTGTGTACAGTGATGCAGCTGTTTAAGGGTTCATAGTTTAGTGTTGAAGCTACTTCAAGACATTTCTGACCGAATTCGGCTATCGTTAACGGTATTAACGCACGTATTTATGAGTTGTGTTTCACGTGCTTCAAGGTAGAGTATAAAAGATCGTATATTTTCAAAGCTCTTCCAGGGAAGCAATAATTGATATTTAGATATAGACTTTTATTTGAAAGTATGCGCCTTATAAGATGTGGTTTTAAAAGTTTAAAAGGCAGCCTATTTTTTTGAAAGCTGTATCGAGTATTGTTAATCCTGTAAACAAGCTTTAAAAATATTATTCTCTCGCTTACAAAGTTCAACCGACCTTTTTTGTTCTATTTAGTAAAGATGCGTAACTTAAGTAGAAACAGTGGCGTTAGGGAATAAAATTGGAGGAAGCTAGTTGACACAATAATCACGATATAAGTAGAAATATATTTCGGCAGTTTGATAATTTTCTTGGAAGTTAATAAATGTTAGGCTATCAACCTTGACCTTGCATGAAACATAATTTAATTGCAGATGTTGTAGTAAAGCCGAGGTGATTTCTTAAAATCGTTTAAGAAAATTTTGTAACATCTTCACATGCAAATTGTGTGCATGAGTTATTTTTATAATTCTGTTTACTAGATTACTGTGTGATAACTCGAATTCCCTCACGTACAAACGACGAAAGGGGGCAAAGTCGGACACTTTCACATGCCAGCTGTGTGACTGTACATCACATGCAGATTGGCTTTTTACAATAATAATAGTAACTTGGGCGTATGAAGACCTGTTTCATTTAGTAACCAATGCCTTAAAAAAGGCCCTTGTCTTTTAGGAAGCAATAGCTTTTAAAACATGACGAAATAAGTTGTCGGAGTTAAAGACTGTTTCATAAAATTTTGTTAATAAATGTTAGGTTATCAACCTTGACGTTGCATGAAACATAATTTAATTGCAGATGTTGTAATGAAGCCGAGGTGATTTCTTAAAATCGTTTGAGAAAATTTTGTAGTGAAGAATTAGCCTTTTTTTAACGTACGAATTGTAAAAGGGCCAAAGACCAACACCTTCACGTGCAAATTGTGTGCGTGAGTTATTTTTATAATTCTGTTTACTCAGCTAGTTTACTGTGTGATAACTCGAATTCCCTCACGTACAAACAACTAAAGGGGGCAAAGTCCAACACTTTCACGAGCCAACTGTGTGACTGTACATCTCATGCAGATTGGCTTTTCACAATGATAAATAGTAACTTGGACGTATGAAGTCCTGTTTCGTTTTGTAACCAATGCCTTCAAAAAAGCTCTTGTCTTTTGAGAAGTAATAGCTTCACTGAGTAGCATCGCACGTGGAAACCTCGTGCATTATGATGATGAAACCATCTACCACAATGATAAAAATTCTGGTATTTCGTAACTATTCTGTATTCGATGAGTCACATATTGGCTTAAGAAACTCCGAGGAAACCTTATAGTTTTCCTTCTAATCAACGTTTGGTGAGTAGAAATTTATTTCACTTTAACGATTTGTTTAATTTGCACCAGATGTAACAGGGAAGACAGAGGAAAGTGAATATATAGCTTGAGGATCGACTCAGCTGAGCGTTTCGCGTTTTCATTTTGTACCGCAATACACAATTTTGCACAAAAACCTAATCTACATTTAGGATGAAAGAGGTAGATTGATCACTCTTGGTAAGGTTACACCGAAGCATTAAAGTTACACTGAAGCATTCAAAATAGCTCATGCACGTTTAACGTGCCTATGTTAGTCAGGGATGGGGGTGGGGGATGGAGGCTTGCTCGAGACAATCTCCAGCGAGCCATTGGAAAAAATTGAGTGTTATGTAAATTTAAATGAATGAAAAGTGTTTCCTGCTTAGTTCCCTTTGGATACATGAGGTTTTGCTACTGGAATATATGCAGAATTATGAAGTATATTCGTTTGACTTTCATTGATTAGGGTCAAGCGCTCTTTTTACTGACTGGGGCGAAGCACTAGCTTTCCCGGGGGGGTTCTGCCATATATGGGCTATATAGGTATGTGCCGCTGTGAAGGGTATGGTTTTCAAGCAGTTTACTCTAGGATAAGGTATCATTTTTCAGGAAACTGATCAGTTGGTTGAAGATTTTATCTAGACCAGGTACACAGCTACTCTAGGATAGGAGGATTTGGGGAGTTTACTCTAGTACAGGGTAGCAAAATTCAGCTGAACTAGCTCTGGTAAAGGTTAAGGGTTCCAGGCTCCCAGTGGCACATCCCCACCCAGAAATTCCTAAAGTGCCCCGGGCTAGCTTTACGGATTTGGGTTATTAGCGCTTTTTAGGCTTAAACACTCATTTGCCATGGTTGGCTTTTGGTTTTTTTTGTATTACTGCTTTTTCCATTTTTTGGTATTTTTCTTCTGCATGGCCTGTGTGGTTCCAGAAAATATCCATACCCCCCCCACCCCCCCAGGATTTTCCATTCCGGGGGGTCTTTGGTGACCCCCCTCCCCCCAGGAATTTCCAGAATTTTTAAACGGGGGCCGCCCAACTTTGCTTACCATCCTTTGGAAGTGGTTTTGGTACTTAAAAACAAAGAAAGTGAATACTAACTCAGTTATGAAAATATGGTAGAATTGTATTACAACAGTGCAATGTAAACGTTTGTTAAGCTTATTATCTCAGCCAAACTTTTAGCATCTTCGCCATCACGTTTGCAAATTATGTCTGTGATGTTTTTATGTAAGCTTATAAGCTTAAACATTTGGGTTACAAAGTTTAAACGTCAATTGTTCTACGTTTTTGTGCTTACTCTGACACATACGTTATGAGGAGAACTTAAGTTTCACCCGCTTAAACAACTTTGCAAACAACAGCAAAAAAACCCCAGAAACTGACAGGGTTCCCTTCTGGCTGTTTATTTTTCTTCACATTTTGACAGTTTCTTCAGGTTCAGTATTATTTAAGGGCTGAAAACTTCACTAACATATGCCAACGCCCAGATTTCATGAACATCGTCACGATTGCAGAAGTAATTTCACTAACCAGATAGCCAGGCCTTGTGAAGGTCGAGCAAGAAACGGGAACGAAAGTACTCTCCTCTCATTGCATTTTTTATGAGTTACTACCCCCAATAAACACTGCTAAAACATGAAACCTATCAAAAATGTGTTTGCTGCATGTGAC